AACCATTTCAAGATCTTCATTAAAATATCTGAGAAAAATATTATGACCCACAATCCACGGCTTATTAATTCGCACCGCAACAATGTTGTTTGTCAAAAATGCACTATAGTCATCACTCCTGCAATGCCACTCTTACTACACGTTCCATTCGATATACTTATGAGATAGTAATGAGTATAATAAAATTGAAAATTATTTGGTGTGTCGCTTTACTGCATAGGCTATCGATCGATCGTTTGCCATATACATACATGTATATATGCATTCTTTCTGGTCGGTTGAAAGAGGTTAAAATTTATTTATATATGAAAAAAAAAGCTGATCACTTATCAGACTAAAAACTACACGAGAAGATTGCTGTGCACCGATTATAGGCCTTTTCTCAAGTCTCTTTGCTGCATTTTTTTTTTTATTGTTGGATAATTTGTTCGATGCGATAATTCATAAATTACGTCGCTTTCTTGCTTTTATATTAAACAATCCATGTAATTGGTAATTTAAAATCAATTGGACGACATAACGAGAAACTTGCAAAACGAGGCCCCAATATAAATTATTGACAGACACTTTGTTGTGATGCAGAAATTGCACAATATTTATGTATGTATAAAGCAGATGACGCCAATAAATTAAGCAATTATATTAATATATATATATTTTTTTTCATCATACACATATTTAGCTTTCCGTTTCCGAAACGTGTGAAAAAATGTAACGGTGAATTAATAACATCAGGCATCAATCAGGCAATTCATACATGTATGTTGCTCTCTCAATGTGTAGCGCTTATAAAATTCCAAAAGAGAAAAATAAGCAAGTTGGAAAGTCACTTGATGTGATGTTAATTTTATGGATTGTGAAAAAAGTGCATGTTGAGGTGTTGATAAGATGGTTTGTTGGTCAATTGCTTATTCTTTTTAATTTTTCGGATATTGAGAGGAGTTGACGTATGGACTTGTTCACTTATTACGATACTCAAAAAAAGACCTTTCAGTCCCCCTCCCATTCAATTTCAATACTCAATTTGCAGATACTCACTCCTTCTTTGTTAAAAAATTACTTACTTACTTACTTTTTCTGGGGCACACGTGGGCTCATTGCCGCGCTTAGAGATCGTCTGAAGACAGCTCTATCCTTAGAAACCTTCTGCCAGTTCGGGATATTAAGGACTCTAGCGTCCTTTTTAACACAAACAATCCACGATATGTTTTGTCTTCCTCGTGATCTCTTACCATCATAAAGTCTGCTACTGTCACTTTTAGGACTGTAAAAAAATTAAGCAAAATTATTTCAAAATCGTCTTTTCCTACCTAAACTATGTATAGACACCATGGATGAGTTTAAGTAAATGCAAATAAGCAAGAAAAATAATGAACAAAGGGCTTTTGTTTGATGCTTAAGGCTTGCTTTATTTTGGTACATAGGTAGAGGTTGTGAGAGACGACCCAGAGAGTTTTTGGATTTTCTAGAGTTTCAAACCTTCCCCTTCCCCCTTTACTTTGTAAAAGAGCTTGAACATGTAAGCTTTGTGTACGAGTCTTATTATGGTTCTATTGGTAGCTTTGTGGAACATACTTTAAGAAGAACCGATCTAATGCTTGAAAAATGATACATCTGAAACTTCTCGAGATTTTAACACGAAATATTAGCTTCATTATTTAGATTTAGTCTTTAGTCTTTGTACTCCAACCACACACCCCCCCCCATATTGCTTTTCCTTTTTCAAAACTATGAGAATTTTTCTATAATATTCTTGAAGAATAATATAAATTGTCATTTATATGTCCATGTATCCATCACTAGCATATGAAAATCTATGTCTTACATGGTTTACAACTTCCAAAAATTAAAAGGAAAGAATTCCTCGTCATACCTCTCTACATCCTTTTCACCTCCTTTTTAAAATTTATAAAACTAGAAATATGTTAATAAATCACAACAACTTAACTTCCATTCAAACATCATAAAATAAACGATAGACAATCAGACAACAAGCCATCAAAACAATTTCCATCCACAGCAAAACTGAGCACCGAAAATTGTCAACAAAAAAATTATTTATTTCAGGTTTTTTTCACAATTCATTCGTATTTAATTTCTTTTCTTTTTTTTCTTCATTTTTACAGCAGCAACAACAAAACAAAGTAAAGTAAAATATTTGCAATGGGAAAATAAAATATTTACAACGCTATAAAAATTATGATAGTGGCACTTTTAATCATATTTTTTTTTGTCAAAGTATGTTTTAACCAATTCAATGGTTCTTAATCAAATGTAATGACTATGAAATGGTACCAGCTTGTGAACGGCACACTCTCTATAAGGAATTAATTATTTCGTGCTTGTTCACTTCTCTCTTTACTCCTTCTATTTTATTTTATTTTATAATATCGCGAGAAATAATTTGATTAATTTGTTGTTTAGCAACTTTCCGGTGGATGTACTTACACTAACTTTACTTTTTTGAGGAATATAATTCTTTATTACTTTTTTCCTAGCTTTTCTTTGCTGTATTTTTGTGTGGCAAGCTTAATATATTGCAGATATTAAAAACTATAAAAGTTTTGTGTAAGTTAAAAAGTTTTTTATTTATTGAGTCAAATGTGTTGTGAGGAAATGAGGAAATTGAGGATAATGTTAACGAATTTTCGGAATTTGAATTTTTGAAAATTCTTTTAACGAATTTTGACGCCATCTTTTGGATTAGTTTGAAAATTTATTTGATCACAAATGTGCCCCTTGAATATATGCAACTTATAAAGACTTGAATTTGTGTTTTATAACGAAAAGAATACTTAATCCTAAGGCATATGCAACCACATAACTCAAAGGAGTTTTTCAAGATCTTGCAAGAATAAACCCTTAATAATGAACTCCTAGAAATCATGCAATTTTCGTTACTTACTCACCATAAAAAAATTGAGAGTGAAAACTGTTCAACATTAAGTTGCATTTGATTCTTAACTGCCATTCCATGCATTGGAGAAAACTCAGAACTGATTTCAAACAGAAAATTCAAAAATCAAGGACTCAGCCGAGGGATCGAAGGGGGTCCGATTTTTAAAAAATTCTTAAACGAAAAAGAAATTTATTTAAAAAATCCTTCAATAAGAAATCCCGCATTTACTCGTTAATAACCAAAGCTAGTCACTCGTATCTTTGGAGGTTGTTCATAAATGATGTAAAGCATTTAAATGGTGTCTAAAATTTTATGACGGTTCAATTAAAAGAAATTTCTTTCATACGAATTTTACGTCAAGGTTGGGATCTAAAAATCATATTTTCTGATTGACGTCATTGATAGATAGCCCCTTTTCTTGATCCTTACTATGAAAGACAATATCAAGCATCAATGATAGCACTTTATAAGGAGAGTGACTTTTATAAATTTTCTAGGTTAGAACATCAATTTGATTGACTTCAAAATGTATAGAGCTCTTATCATTTTGAATTAATTCATTTTTCATTGACAAAGTTTTTAAATTCAGAAAATTTCTCGACCTTTACTAATTCCAGTAACATGAATTTCCAGTAAGAAAGTTTTATATTCTATTGTATTATTCACCAATATTAAACAAACTTTTTATTACTTTTAAAATAAAGTAGTGCATGCACAACTTTGATAACTATTCTTTTCATTATAAAGAAAATAATATTTCCATATAAAATATTAAATGCACGTGTGATAGTTAAAATTGAATCAAACTTTGTAGACTTTTTAAAGTCACGTTTTGATAAAAATTCAACAATTTATTATTTGAAGTTTATTTTTGTTAAATTTAAATTTCAAAAATCTTGAAATATTTGTGAATTTCCTGAAAAATCTTAAATAATTTAAATTACTACTAATATATTATAAATTTAAAAAAATTAAACCAATCTTATTTAAAAATCAGAGCCAAAATTAATATAACTTGAAATCACTGTTTATCAATAAACGAATTTATTCATCATTAAATCATATGAGAATGTTTTTCAGGATTAGAACCACGATATTTCAGTACAAAACCATTTTGAACCAATTATGTAATTGAATTTAATTTTCAAAACTTAGAATATAAGTTTTTAAATTTTTTTAAATTCAATACTAATTTTATGTGCGTAGTTTAATAGTTATTAAGCTGTTCTGGACTGACATCAACAATTTTCAATTGTATTTGTAAAAAAAAAGTTTATTTTCTCTAGAAAAATAAGAAAAATATCAAAAAAGACAAATTAAGCTAATCAGCAGACAAATTGCGAGTCCATCAACACCTAATCCTAATGAAAAGTCATAACAATCAACGCTGCATTAATGATCCATGGCAAAAAAGAGGCATAAACAATAATTTGTTACACAAAATTACGCAATTTCAATGTTTTCGTAACACTCAATAATTTAAAATGCGAATTTTTTCTGCAAAATAATAATAAATATCAAGCTATAAATAACAAAAGCTTCTTCAATATTTTCTTCATAAGCACCTGCATCAATCATTTTTTTTATTCATTAAACTTTTTTTTTATTGAATGTTTTTGAAATCAAAAATTTCCTTAAAAAACTAATTTTTCTCGTATTTTTTTTATATTTTAAAAAATGCAATCAAAAAAAATTGAAAGTCAAATATGATTAATTTTAATTTCATTGACTATTTACTTCATTTTATGAAACTAAATGGATATTTAAGAGATAATCATAATATAATACAAAAAAAATAATATATAATTCAGTTTTCTTAAGCAAGTGGGGGCAAGTCAATCTTTAAGTATAATTTTTTTTAAGTCATAAAATTTATATTCAATTCATTATTCAATATAAATGCATCTTACTATCTACAAAAAAGAAATCAATCGCTCATTTATTATGAATTGGAGGAAAGTCAGGTTAAAATTTTTTTTAATGGAATTGAGGCCCTTGTGAGGGGATTTTATTGATTTTTTTTCTGATTGAATAGCTTTAGAATTAACACAGTGCTGCTCAAGCTAGTGACACAAAGCAAGTTTAATTCATTAGAATTTAAGGGACTGTTCACATATTACGTGACACAAAAACAAACTTCCTTCAAAAACAATAATATTATTTTAAAACTTTATTCCCCCCCCCCTCCCCTCCCCTTCTAATACGTAAAAAGTTCCCTTAGGTTAAGTCCAAACTCTTAATTCTATGCGGCTCCTAAATGCAGTCTTATCCATTGAGTCAGCAACACATTAGGGTTCGTTCACTTATGACGTCCGAAATTAACGTTCATTTTTCAAAAAATAACAATGAATTTCCTGGAATTTCTATTGTTCCTTTCTTGCTGACCCCCCCCCCCCCCTAGACGTCATAAGTGAACGACACCTTAGTGTTCCACTTGTAAATGATTCAAAGTGTCTTGTTTTTGATCTTGAATTGCTGAAAGTTTAAGAAACACTGGATTAAAGCAAAATTTCCAGCAAATATGATTTTATAGTAAGTAAGTAAGTTAAATACTCATTTTACTATGTATTTAATTAAAACTGATTAGACCGATCATACAGTTAGCTGGTCAATCTTTCAATGATAGGGTTCGATTCTCATCAAAAGCAATTTATCAATCTTATGGTTTCACTATCACATTTGTTTTTTGCACAAAAGCTAGAAGAACAATGTTAAGCCTAGCCTAGTTCAACCACCCTCCCTCCCTCACAAGAGCATCTTCAAACTAATTTTTTTATTGCACAACATCAAAAAAAAGGTTCCAAAACAGTCAAAAAAAAAATCGTTCAAGCGAATTAGAAGAAGAGCTTCTTCAATAAGAATGGAAGTAAATCACAAATCGGTAGTTTCAGCAAGATGAGATTGTCTATGATAAATTCTATCTGGAATAGTTTGGTAGCTTGTATTCTCAACAACTTTGCTTAATTCCTCATATAATCGACTTAGTGTCTCAATGACATCTGTCGATACTTTTTGATACTTTTGTTGCATTTTCACTTTGTCAATTGCCCGCTGTGTATCGCGTAAGGCTTCTTCCAAGTTGTTAGCTTCCATTAGAGCCTTTGCACGTGCATAATATCCATCGTAATTATTTGTCTTTATTGAAATTGCTGTTGTGGCTAAATCAATTGATTCGGAAATTTCCTGTAGACGAAACAGAAACAAAAAGAAAGGTAAGAATTAAGTCATGGAGAAAGAAATGGAGACATTAAGTCATGACTTACATTCATTTTCCGCTTACATCGTGACAAATTAATTAAGAAATTAAATCTCAACTGTTGGAAGGTATTATTATGTCCATATTGCTCATCAACGTCATCCGTACTTTCGGATAATAACTTTTCAGATCCTTGAGGAATTTTCTTTAATGCATACTCATAACGATGACTGGCATCTTGTAGACGATTTTTACGATAAAGTACATTGCCGTCTTCGAGTAGCTTATTGAGTAAAACGATCCTATTGAAGCGTGAAATAAATCATTAAATAATGATACATTACAATATAAATTGACAAGTACAGCAACTTACATTATTTCAGGCTTGCTCTGTGCCAGAAACCACGTTGAACTGCCCAATTTAGCGCCATGCTTTAAAAATACTTGAACTACTTTGATGTTCCGACATGCGATAGCTCTATCAATTGGTCGCATGCCTTTCTCATCAACGTGCTCAATCTGTGCTCCATTTTCGAGAAGCATTTGGACGAGATCACCAGTTCCTTGATATGCTGCCAAGTCTAAAGGTGTTCTTTGATGATTGTCTTGATGACAAATGTCTGCATTATGTTCGAGTAGGCTCTTTGCAGCTAGCAACTTTCCTCTTAAACATGCCCAACTAAGAGCACTAAGTCCATCTTTATCAACTTTCCCATGATCAGCTCCTTTATTCAACAATAATTCCATAATCCCAACATGACCTTCTTCAGCTGCAATCATTAGAGCGTTTCTTGAATTTTGATCCGTAACTTCAATATCAGCACGACTTTGAAGTAATCTCTCGACAATATTCCAATGTCCTTCCTTAACTGCCAGCAGTAAGGCATTCATACCCTTTCGATTTTTATTATAATGATTTGCACCTCGTGATAAAAGAAGTGAGACAGTCTCGGTATGTCCATTTGATGATCCAATTGTCAATGAATTCTCACCGGTAATGAAATCAATAGCATCAATATCAAGCTCAGGTAGTGAAAGTAATAAGTCTTCTACAATAGATGTGTGTCCTCTACTCGAGGCAGACACAAGTGCTTGCTTTGCAGCATCCATAAGGCTCATATCATTACGACTCTCATGCTGTATCCAGTCGCATGATAATAAATATTTTACAATATGACTATGTCCATTAAGAGCGGCATGAACTAAGGCACAACGTTGTTGAGTGTCTGTTTGACCTAAGTAGCTTCCTGTCGTCACTAATTGTTGGATAATTTCGAAATGTCCTTTGATAGATGCGATTATTAAAGGTGTGCTGCCTTGATTGTTTGCTTTCTCGACATCGGCACCGAATTCAATCAATAAATTGACCATACTTAATATTCCTTCATTAGCTGCGATGCACAAAAGCGGTGCATTACCAAAAAGTTGTGTCTGATAATCGGGATCAGCACCAGCAAGTAATAGTAATCGTGAGACCTTAATATTAGGATTATAAATATTCCTTAATGTACACAAAGTTGACGAAATATTTTTAGCAGACGACGCAACCCAAAAAGCTTGTAAGTCACGTGGTGCTTGTGTCACAGGCGGTGTACGATAAATGTGTGCCTTTAATATATGATGACACAATTCCAAAGTTTGTTCGGGATCTAACGGTGCTTGTAGACGTGACATTCTAAATGCAATTGCAGCATGACCAGTTCTCGGGTCACACAAAAATTTTGCACTTTCACCATCGTCGCGTCGCATAATAAGCCATTCCCTGAATGATGGATGAAAGAACATGTACGTATTGTCAATTCGCTTAACAAGAAAGCCAGCGAGCATTTTAAATCGATTAAGAAAGTCATTCCACTCGAGTTGTGCTTCTGTGACTAAAGCATTAACTGAATGAAATATCTCGATGAGTGTAAGTGGATTTAATGCTGCTAAACATACGGCTAATATTGGTGAAATCTTCTCGAATGCACTCTGCGTCGGATATCGAAGATTAAAGTTCAATAAAAAGATTTGTGACAATGTCACCGGAAGAACCTTAAAGCTGTTTGATTTCACAACTAAATGTCCTCTTTCGATTAAATCGAGCGTTAATTTGGCAAATAAAAATGAGCCTTTACTCAGTGTTAATAAATGCTGTGCAAATTTCATTGACGTTCCCTCTCGCGAGTTTGACAACGTTCCAGATGGATTGATGTGGCTGATATTATTTTGTATTGATGGACTATGATTGAGTCTCAATACAATATAGTCTAATATATCTTTTTGCATTGTATCATTTTGATAATTATCCAATGTAATTTTGGTGAATGGCAAGCTGCTTGTATAATCCATCATTTGTGTTCGTACGGTCGCAACAACTTTCAACCACGACGGAAAATTGTGACACATTGTTCCCAAAAATGATGTTATTGTATCGCCATAGTCGGGACGATGATACTCTGATTCGCACAATGCATCAATTAGTATCAAGCATTGTCGACTCAAAATCTTGCCTTGTCGCTTCAACATGTCGAGTGGTTCGAGAATTCCCATTTTAAGTGCACGTTGGGGATCGGCAATGCATTCCTTTATGCTCAAAACATTTTGTAAATGCGGTTCATTAAGTAGGAATTCATTATAAGCTGCGAGTTGTGGTGCTTGACATAATTGTGCTGCCAAGCTGTGCACGAAATCGGGAACTGTGCATGTTGGACTATTATCGCTCTGACAAAAATGATAAGCCACAACGTGACTTGCCAACTGCTTTAGTCGCTCATTTGGTAAATTAACTTGACAATAAATCCCGTCATGTTCTTGCATTAATGAGTCCTTTTTACGACCAAAGCATGAATATTCGACCATTTGAAGGATAAAGAATGTTTTGCCGGTGCCTAAGCCACCATTTATTATGACTCCCTTGCACTCGCTTGTTGATATTGCATTGGATATTTCACGAACTAGCCAGTGGCGTCCTACGAAAATAGGATCTGCTTCTTGATGTGGCACCTCGAAAAATAAAGGCTTTAATGGTAATTGGGCGGATGTTCGGTATTGAGCAAATCTAACTTTTGGATCTAGTGGTGCACTTAGTTGCACTGATCGTGCTGATCGCCTTGCAGGTACTTTGCGGGCTTTAAATTGGGCTAATTCGTCAAGTCCTTCAAGGTTGTTTTGGTTTCCTATTTTAAATATTTCAGATTAGTAATTTTATAGCCGTAAGAAGTCATTTAGCACTTACCAGTAATGGAATGACGTCGTCCCATCGAGTTTGAAGATGCATTGCTGTTCTCAGAAATAGAAACAGACAAAAGAGATCCAATTGATTCACAACCGCGTCGAGAAGTCTGTGACTTGTCTCGGTATGACCCTTTCGACATGTCAGCTTCCGATGAATTCGTCAATGTTGACAATGGACTCGTGTTACTCGATCCCAATGAATTCAACGATTGTTTATGTTTAGTACGTGCCTGACTATGATTATTATTCTCCAAAAATAATCCAAGACGAACTTGTAGCTCATCATCCTTGACTGTACGAGACTTGTTTGATGATGCATGCTTCTCATCATCTGTTATTGTCATGGAAATGAGAAAAAGATTGCATAAAATTATTAATCATTATTTTGAGATTAATGGATATATTTAAAAATATTTTACAAACAAGTCGAAAAGGAAGAAGAAAATAAACACGAAAAATGGAAAAGAAGAAAGTAACAGTCAAATAATGAATGAGGATGAAAGTGTTTTGAAAGTGAAATTAACGGTTATTTTTGAATTTTGAATTGGATTTTTTTTGTAAGTTGAATGAACTTTGGAAATAAAGTCTAAATTGGACTATTTGGATGGTAATTTTATGCTTTGAGGCCGTTCACTTATTACGTTACGCAAAAAAAAACGACTTTTTCACCCCACCCCCCCCCCCCCCCCCCCCCCTGAACGTTCATAATTTATTTTATTTTGATAATTTTTCATAAATCATTAAACAGGTGGAAAATTTAAAAAAAAATTTTTTTTCTTGACCTTTTTTTTTAAAAAAACACGAAGAACGTTACATACTTTTTGACCCCCCTCCCCCCCTTATGTTACATTTTGTTACAATTTTTCAAACCCCCCTTCCCCCGTAAAATGTGAACGTAATAAGTGAACGGCCCTTTATGTGCTTGCTCAAGCTTTAATCTTTAATTAAGCTGTCCAATTGCAAATTCTAAGTGAAATCTGCTTTAAATTCGCCAAAAATCAGTAAAACAGAAAAATTCTGCAAAATCCAACAAAAAAATGAATTCAAATTTTAAAAAACCGTTAAAAAATCAAAACCTTTAAACAATAAAAATTCACACAGAAAACAAAAATAATAATAAAGAAAACACAGCAAAACCGACAATAATGACACAAAAAAAATAATAAACAAAGTATTTTAATTATCATGCAGTCACAAAAAGAACAAAACAAAAAGTTCGCAAAACAATGAGGAAATATTGTAAAAGACCTAAATGTTCTTTGATCTTGCTTTTCTGTCGTCGATCAGAATCTGCCAACATATTCAGTCCCGTTCCATTAACCGACCATAAAGACTTAATCTTCCCAAACACGAGTGTGCCGCCGCTCACAAAAGCACCACCAAATCGCTGCAATTTGTTCTCTTTATCTTTACTTTGCTTAACTTTAACTATCGATTGTGATGGCGACGTGTTTGAGTAGATATTCGATTCAGAATTGTTTGTTGTTGTTGATGAGTTCATCGATGTGAATCCAGCAAAGTTTTTATGGAAAAATGCTTCAGAATTTTTTAATAAAATGATTTTGTGTAACACAGAAAGATGAATTTTTTTTTTATTGGAGACGACAAAAATGTGTATTTTGTGGAAAAAAAAGAGGTGGAAAGAGAAGAGATAAATATGAATAAGTAAGTGTGGTTTATGAAGATCTCAAAAATAAATGTGATGTATGGAACTAAGTGTGGTGAGTCAATTATAAGGAGTTGTACATGAGGTAGGTTGATTGCTCGGTATTCTTTAGGGTTTGAACCTCCACAATAGTGGTATATACTAGTGGTATAGACTAGGCATAGTCTAGGACGATCTAATAGTGTAGGTAAAGCTGTTTCTAGTCGTAAATACTTTACTAGAGTTTGGAATACACTCCATACTAGGTTTAGCATATTCTAGGTCCCTGGGAGTATAATCAGATGATATCTTAGAGACATAACCTAATAGTATCCCAAAAATGTTCATAGAAGTACCAATCAGGGATAAGCCTAGATCATAACACCTAAATCACACCAAGAGTAGTTCATCCCTTAGTAGAATACCAAGCAACCGACCCATAAAGATTGATGTCATAAAAATATGAACTATTCTCCATCGACACCGCTGAATTCTATAAAATAATAAAATATTTACCTGAAAATGTATAATTTTGGTCCGATGATCCACCACTATTGCCATTTCTGTTCTTATAAAGTGCAAATGGACTTTTTAAATGCTTCGGTATGAAGAATCGTCGTCGATTTTGTGGCGGTGTTGCACAAATCTCAGCCTTTGTTGTGACAATATTCGGACTGACATCAACTAATCCCCTCAGGTGTGATAATGAGTGCTGTTGTTGAGGACATTTTGGTGGCTTACTATATACAGCGTGGTTGGCTGATGGCTGCTGAAAAAAGAAACAAAATTATCATTTAATAAAAAATAATAATTACATATGTGAACATTTACAATAACAATTCAGAACATAATTTATCACTCGCTTGACGAGAATCAAGATAAAAGACACAAAGTTGAATATTCCATATACGGTCCTATATCGATGAGTTAAATATATTAAGTCATGGAGAAAGAGCAGACGAAAAAAAAAAGTTAAAGTTATTTCTTTTTGACTCCTCTTCATATAGGCACACAAAACAATTGAATATCTTTGGGCTCGGGTACTTAAATCTTCGTATTTATATGTTTTTCAGCAACATGAATCACGAGATTTATTTAATATTTTACTTGATTATATGGAATGAAATTTTCATTTTCAATGGAAATGATTGTAGATTCTTAAAAATAAATCTTTCATGAGCTGTTGAGGAAATTTGTTAAAAAATTTCTGAACAATCTTCTTGTGCTTTTTTTTTTTGGGGTTAAAGAGAATTTTTACTGTATGTTGTCTCAATTGACACTGGGTTCAAGACAGTTACGTGACAATAAACTGAGTTTATGTTTCTTTTTTTACTGATTTCAAAGATTTAAGGCCTAAAATGTCGTAAAATGTTTAAGAACCGTTAAATTTTGAACAATTGGGAGCTATATAAATTTGAATTTTTGAATACCGTTATTATTTGAATTTTTGAAAGCTTTTGTTTATTGAATTTTTGAAAGCCGTTTAATTTTTGTTTTTTTTTTTTTAAACGATTAACCTTTCATATTTGTTAATTCAGTTAACATTCGAACTTTTAAAACCGTTTAACTTCGAATTTTGAAACCCGTTGAATTTTGAATTTTTGAAACCCGTTAAAGTTTTCATTTTGGAGAAACGTTGAAATTTGAATTTTTGAGAAACGTTAAATTTTGAATTTTCTTAAAACCGTTGAATTTTCGAGAAACGTTGAAATTTGAATTTTTGAGAAACGTTAAATTTTGAATTTTCTTAAAACCGTTGAATTTTGGAGAAACGTTGAAAATTGAATTTTTGAGAAACGTTAAATTTTAAATTTTCTTAAAACTGTTGAATTTTGGAGAAACGTTGAAATTTGAATTTTTGAGAAACGTTAAATTTTGAATTTTCTTAAAACCGTTGAAGTTTGAATTACGTAACTTAAAACTTCATAAATGTTAAATCAACCTCAACTCCTTTGAAATCAATTTTCATTAACCACAATTTCTAAATACCTCATTCAATTCTCTAATGCTCATGCTAGTTCACTCATTTATGCTCCAAATAATTGCAAAATGACTGCATTCATTCACAAAATTTCCTCATAATTCTTCAAATTTGGTAGCAAAAAACCACAAATCACATTCTAGAAATACCTCAAACTCAAATCTCCAATGAACTCTAATAAATCTCGAACTATAACTTTTTAATGATCCAATAAAATTTTATAATCTCAATTCATTGATCACTTCATGCAAGAGCAGCAGAATATAAAAAAATCCGTGAGAGACTCCAGTGGAATGTAAAAACTATGTCTACATAAATGCATTACTGTGATCAATTTAAAGTACAGAGCGAGTACATAATAAGCAATAATGTCTTGAATGAAATATAAAAAATATGTTTTTTTGATTAAACAGCTTTCTGTTTGTCTGTTAACATTACATGCACATAGGCATAGATAGATAGATAGATAGATAGATAGATGGAAGAAGAGGAAGCACAATATAATCAATTATTGTTGGGCACGTCGATAAAGGAATGTTTGTAAATAAAATGTAAGGTTCAATAAATTTCATTCAGGTTAATATCGCATCAAGTAAAGGGTTAGTAACTTAAAAATTATGAGCAGCCGTTCATTGTCATGAGTGACTACTTAAGTCCATAAAAGCCATGAAAAATTGCAAAATGTCATAAAAAGTAAACAAAATCGGATAAAATAAATTAAATGCATGTCCAGTCAAACGGGTGATGCAAGTTAAATAAAATCTGATGAGTCATCACCCCTGACACGATTTTTGTGTACCTTTACCTCCGTCTTATCGTGATTCGATTCCAAATTCGAATGTCATTTGGATTTTTGTTCAAACATTTAGAATAAATAAAATAAAATTGGTTTGGGAAAAGAAGTAGAAAGTGTCAACAATAAACATCCCATGGGAATCCGACCGATCGAGTGACTATAAATATTATTAGCAAAAAACAAAGTCCTCCAGATAGAGTTTTGTAGCGCATGTTCAAAAATAACGTATATTCTTTAAAACTTCGAAGTTTGAGACTTTAACCCTCGAACTTTATCAGCGTCAAACCCCTAACCCAGTATCGAAGCAGCGTCCACCTGCCCTTCCCCCCACTCCCTTCACTTCTAAAAGCTTTACTACGTTTAACTTAGCCAAGATTCGAACCTTTCCCTCGACTAGAAAAACAATAGAAATTTTGAGAATATTTTGTTTGTAATTATATACTTCACAAGAGTGAATAGACAGCCAGACAACTGTACATCCTGACTGATATCAGCTTTCCCCATTGGGATCATTCACTTATGACGTCCGATATTAACGGTCATTTTTCAAAAAAGAACAATTAAATTCCAAGAATTTCTATTGTTCTTTTCTTACTGACCCCCCCCCCCCCCCCCCCCGGACGTCATAAGTGAACGGTCCCATTTAAAGATGCCCTAAATCATTAAAAATTGTCAAAAAATGTCTCAGTCTCTCATGAGCTATGGATTAAATATTTTAATGAGATCCAATAATCATAATAAAGACAAGAAGTTTCTTGCCGACGATCCTCGCTGCACGCTATGCATCGCTCGCGAGAGAGAGTAAGAGGTACATTAACAACAATTGGTGGCATATGCATGAATTATAGAGACTTTGGCATTGAAATTTATAATTGAGTAAAAGCCGCAACTTAATGAGCTTTATGTAGCTCCGATGGTCAGCAGTTTTATGGCTGCATTGATGGAAATAAAAACGGGTTGCTAATTCCTTACTGCTGCAAAAAAAAATAATGCTTCTCTTAAAATAAAAACACACAGCAAATTGGGATGGCAATAAATTATATAGATGAGGCTATTTTTTGTGTACATGCTGCCGTTGAAGATCACGAACCGTACATATTGAAATATTACTCAGCAATAATTTTGGTGTTAACAAAAGACACAATGCAATTTTGATATAAATCACAATACCAGATCGACAAGACTTTCGGAACATTCCTTAAAAAAGCACTTTGTGTAGATGTAAAGTAAGAAAAATTAACTTTTACTTCCAATGTTATTTATTAATAATTAAAATTAAATTACTGACACAAAGCGCGCGAGAGAACTTGATCATAAAATATACTTTTTTTTTCATATCCACATGCCTGTAGAATCATTAACAAATAATCAATCATGATTTCACCCATGAGACATTGACAATTAATGATTATGCTGGTGCTTTGAGCATAAGAAATGTCCATGTGGATACGCAGAAATTGATGATAGAATTTGGTCTGTGGAAGTGATTTTATGTTTGAATTGACTAGGGTTGGGTATATGTGACTTAAATCTTGGTTCTATGGTCGATTACATGCTTTTTATCTAGGGAATCATGATGATTCTTGCATATTAGCTTACATCCATGCTTAGATTCAAGCCAAGATATATAGATGGGCTCATACAGAGTATACTTGACCATACTCGACCATACTATTTTTTGTGTACTTATACAAACAAAAATTTTTAAAATTTTCTATTTTCAAGTTTTCATTTAAATATCGACAGATGCAACAACATTTGTCTTAAGTCAGTTTCTTTAAATTATAGCAAAGCATTTGCAATACTCCTGTATCAACAAAACTTAACAGAAAGTTGAAAATTTTGCAAAACAAAAATTGAAAATTTTCTTTTATAGTGTTAGTGTTTTTAGAAAATTCAAATTTTTGACGTTTAAAAACTGCGATATTTTTGTATGAGCACATCTATATATCTTGATTCAAGCTACAAAGAGTGGAGTATCTCTCAAATGAGGTATAACTCTAGTATAGTGATATGAAAGCTGTGTGCTGAAGAGGATGTCTTTTTGGCGTAGCTGAGCTTGAAGAACTTGGGCATAATAGAATGCTAAGCTGTTAACAACTAGCTAATCAACTTTAAAGGTTATGATCTGCATTAAGCTGGTTCTTAACCTTTATTTCAACCTTAACCTAGTAAATAACTGCTGGGTGTTGAAGATTAAAATGCAGTCTGACCAGCAACTAGCTCATCTACTAACATCTAATCATTTCTCACAAATGTCACCCACCTGCCTCGGAAAAACCAGCTAACAAAAGAGAAAATATCATCAATGAAGCTACACACGCACATCCAAGCAATCTGCATTAGATAATAATGATGATTATCTTGCCATAGCTTGTCATTTTCAGATATGTTTATAATCTAATTAATTTAGCGTTACCCATTAATCGTTTACGCTACACACAAAATAAAGAGCAACATTAGAGGCGGTTGATTGACGAGCTCGCATGAACAATTTTCTTCTTATTTTCTCTTTCACACATGATCACACAATAACACATCAAAAGCAATTTAATTTTCCACGCTTAAATCTAATTGCTTAGTAATGATTTTAGCCATGATAAAAAAATATATAGATATATGCTGCCTATATAGCCGACCTAAAGTTGCCGTCATGCTGATAGTTATGCAACTTTTTTTGCCATACTAAAGGGGGTCTTTGGTTTTAAATAAATTGATAATTATGTTCAAAATTGGTTGTTTTTGATTTCAAATTCAAAATTTCCATCACAAAATTGTTTTAAAATATAAAATTTGAAAATTATTCAAACCATGGACCCCCATCGTACTTTAATTTTAGCTTCATTCCTACACGAGTCTTGTGTATAAAACTTTTTAAGAAATGAAATCTCCTCAATTTAGATTTAGATTTCAATTGAATGATACTCGCTATGTACATCGACTCAATGGCACAGCACAGCCCAGCACAAAAAGTATGGCGAAAAAAGAAAAGAAATTGAAAAAGTAGCTGATGAGAAGAAGTCAACAAAACCATAAAAGCAACAACGACTTCTTAAATGGCAATAACAATCATCAATGCAATGGAAGGAATTGGAAATGAGAGAAACATAATAAGAACTGATATTCTGTAAACTGTAAATTGATTCCATCATAAAAATAAATTTTCATTTTATTCTCTTTTCTTTTATCAAATGCAATTATTGCGATTGGAATGAAATGAAGGAATTGAGGTGGAAGACAAGGGTCGGTAACGTGATATCTGTGACGACTTTTATGGGTCACCCTACGACATAAATTTTTTGCTGCAAAGGTTAATGAGAGTTCTGAAGGATGTTGTTGAGGAGTATTTGATATCTTAAAGGAAATGGAAGCAGTAATGTACGACAAGTGAGGCTTACATCTTATAAATATGATATTATGGAGTGGCTGGTAAAGAACAAATTAATTGTTGGAATTCAAGCTAAAGTTGATTGTTTAACGGGTTTTCAAAATTCAAATTTTCAAGAGACATTAGAAATTCAAATTTTAAACAGGCTTTCAAAATCGAAACTTTGCAACGGTTTTTTAGAAATTTGGATATTCAAATTTTAACGGACTATTGAAATTCAAATTTTTACCGTTTTTAAGATGTTCAATTTTTTTAACGGATTTTTAAAATTTAAAGTAGTAATCCATGCAGCTTATCCATAAACTTTACAATCAAATGCCATTTTCTCATCAAAACCCACTAAAACAAAAAAAAAGCTCGTATCAGATTCAAGATTACTTCCATAAAAATCAATGATCACCAATAAAAGTGTCAAGGGATGATAATCTAGTATAAAAAGTAACAGCTTTGCCACTTCAAAAAAAAAACTTTATTGCTTTTATTTGCTTTTCTAATGAAGCAAAAAAAAAATTAGCAATGCCTCATAATCATTAAACAGTCCATAAATATCATGGTAAGATTGAAGATTTGGATTGAGAAAAAAATCGTAGGATTAAAAATCGACCCCCAACACACTTATCAACATCATTAACATTTTTTGCATGCAATCATTAAAATCCAGCCAGCACATAAAAAGGTCAAACAATAGATGGCCAACTTTTGCAGCATTAAAAATGATATAATTAAAGCTGTTGATATTTTTGTCGCTACTTTATATTAAATTGCGTTTTTGACTGTGACACGAATACAGCCACAGAAGTGTACTCGAACATACATTATGATGTCTTTACTGATTACTGTTAAAATAAAGTTTATTATTTATTTTTCGTGTGACAAAGATTTCTTTTTCATGTCGAGTTTTGGGTGACTTAAGAATATGAAGGAAGAGAAATGGGCAATGCGAATTTAATTATTTGCGATATGAGAATTGATGGGGATTTATTTTTAGCACATTCGTGTGCTGAATTTCAGGTGAAAAATGTAGGAACTTTCTTGTGTATTTTAGAAGATGATGACCTTAGCCTGTTAAACAACTTGCGAATTGAATATTTTAAATTCGTGGAAGATGATAAACAGGAATAGAGAAGAATTCCCTGATGAAATGGATGTTTTTAAAGTGTTTATTCGACTAGAATATCCGGATTCTAAATTGAATTAATATTTAATGGCTTTTAAGTGCTTTTAAGAAGCTTGAATATCAAATAATTTCATTTAAGTCGTTAAAAAATTGAATTTTTGAATCTTTACCGATGTGAATTCAAATTCTCCAAAACTGTTTCAATTCAAATTCTCCAAAAACGTTAAAATTCAAATTATTTAAAAACGTTAAAATTCAAATTATTTAAAACCGTTTCAATTTAAATTCTCCAAAACCATTTTAATTCAAATTCTCCAAAACCGTTTTAATTCAAATTCTCCAAAGCCGTTAACATTCAAATTGTTCAAAACTGTTTAAATACAAATTCTACAAAACCGTTGCAATTCAAATTCAACAAAATTGTTACTGAATTTACTTTCGAAGTTGTTAAAATTTAAATTATAAAATACCGTTAACTTTTAATCAAAAAAATCCATATAGCACCAGATATAAAATCAAATTGAAAATTTTTTTCATTAAACTTTTACGATCTGATTAAGGAAATTATGATTCAATCGACCGCTTTGAATACAAATTACAGATTTTCATAATCCACATAATAAAAATCCATTTAATATTCATATGCTACTGAAATTGATCGCTTGTGCCCAACCTTATCATCACATACCGAGAGAATATTTTAGCACAGAAAAAATAAAATGGGGAAGTGAAAAAAAAAGTTGAAGGAGAAAAAAAATAACATGTTCCTTAATTAATTTCTTAACCATCCATGACCGTGTGTATTTAACTTTTTGCTATCGCAAAATCGTTTGATGTTTTACTGTAAGGAGAAACATTGACAACAGAAGAAATCTCTGTCATCATTAAATTAAAAAGAAACTTTCTTTTTATGTACATTTTAACTTCTCGCTCTCGTCTGATTTCCTTCGGATATCAAACCGTGTATAAATATTATTTGATTAATGATATCTTTCTTATATGTAATAAAAGTTTTTTTATTTTTATATTTTGAAATCTCTATTTGCATTGTCAATCATTTGAATAATTCTTTTCGCATTTGCAATATCTTACTGTCAACAATGTAGTTGTTTGATGTTCAAATGATAAATGAAGTAAGAAAGAAGAAAAAACTTGTTTGTGATAAATAATTGAAGATTTTAAAATGATTGCGCATTTGGCAGTGCTGGACATGACAAAATGTTTGATGAAAAAATTTCAAATTATAAAAAGCCGTTAAATTTTCAAATTATAAAAAGTCGTTAAATTATCAAATAATAAAAAGCCGTTAAATTTTAAAATTTTTAAAAAGTCGTTAAATTTTCAAAATTTAAAATTCAAAATTTAAAAAGTCGTTAAATTTTCAAAATTTAAAATTCAAAATTTAAAAAGTCGTTAAATTTTCAAAATTTAAAAAGTGGTTAAATTTTCAAATTATTAAAAGTTGTTAAATTATCAAATAATAAAAAGTCGTTAAATTTTTAAAATTTAAAAAGTCGTTAAATTTTTAAAATTTAAAAAGTCGTTAAATTTTTAAAATTTTAAAAGTCGTTAAATTTTCAAATATTAAAATTCTTTAATTTTTCAAAAATTCAAAAGCTCATCAAACATCTTCAAGTCTACAATAATTTCAAGAATCCACATTAAATCCACAATATCAAACCCACTCCAATACCCATTAACTCATAATTAAGCTATTAACTCCCATCACGACTTCAACACACCACATTGTCTGGATTATTCACCTCTCAATCAATAAACAGACAAACCGTTCATCAAACCCCATTTCCAGAGCTCAAATACACATTTTTCTAACTCAAAATGCCGACAACATTGTCAGTGGAGCCACATTTCATGTATTTATGATCAATGAGTTAAGGAACAGAACACAAAGAGACCAATAATTTGCCCCGAAACCATATAATAATTCGCACTATATTTGTCTCAATCATTGATGTGGAAAATTAACTCGTGTATCGAATCAAGTCGCACCGAAAAATATTGGGGAGAGTTCGTCAATGACGTCTTGGTTTGGGGGTATTCTTCACATTCTAGTCAAAAATATATCAAAATTTGAGTGCTAAGCTATGAATTTGAGAAGAGGAGGGTGTCCATGACAGACATCATTTACAAACGCCCCCCATTATGAAGTTGGTAGTTGTTTGAATTGATAATGAAGTAAAGGAAAAAAAACATAAATTTTAACAAATTGATTGTAGTTCATTTTATGAGAAATTACAAAAAAAAAACAATATTTTAATATTTGTATGTCAAGCTACTCAACATACCTGCATGTAGTTTGTGAAACATCCATTGGTTTTTACAAGCGAACGACAAGCAAGTTGAGGTGAGCCAAGAGTTGTGGAACTGCCTATTCCAGTATCGTAATCGCTGAATGTTTTGCTGTGATTTCCTCGTTGAAATTCTGTAAAATAGGAACAAACAATGTAATTAATTATAAATGCCACATATTTTAAATATTCACTGACTAGAAAAAATGAGCATTTCATCACTTAATTAGAGTCTGTGCCTTAAAAACTCGTTTTGTGGTTTCTATTTCTTCAATTTGCCATGAAAGTTATAAATTATTGACAAAAGCTAATAATTTTCAGTAATTTTTCATGAAGAGTTAAAGATCAATAAAATCAATTTATGCATGAAACTTTCTTGTTGATAATTTTTAAATTTTTTATTTTTTCTTTTCTTGGATAGAGTGTGATAATTTCCATATAAATTAATTTCTTCTTGATCTAGAGATATTTATAGATACTATTAAGGTGGAGATGTTAAGAGACTGTTTGAAATATTTTATGATGTCGACTGTAAGACTGGGGCATTATTAGATATGGCTGTATGCTTAAAAGACTTAAAACATCTAATGGTTTTGTAAAATTCAAATTTTAACGGTTTTGTAAAATTCAAATTTCAAAGGTTTTATAAAATTCAAATTTTAACGGTTTTGTAAAATTTAAATTTTATTTGTTTTGTAAAATTCAAATGTTTTCGGTTTTGTAAAATTCAAATTTCAACGGTTTTGTAAAATTCAAATTTTAACAATTTTGTAAAATTTAAATTTTAACGGTTTTTAATATACAAACAACAACGGTTTTGTAAAATTCAAATTTTAAACGGTTTTGTAATATTCAAACAATAACAGTTTTGTAAAATTTAAAATTATTTTACAATTATTTAATGCCAATCAATAACGGTTTTGTAAGAATTAAATCACACAAAAGAAATCGAATCTCAAAGTTCAACTCAAATTCATTTCACAATCAGGATTATCCAGCATCTAAATTCCTTGAAGTCACCGTCTATAAAAATTGCCCCTCATTAAAAATGAATCATACCAGATGATTATCATTAGGAACAAACGAAATCTGACCTTGCTTTCATTTTTATTATGACTTAATTCATAAGGGACTTAAATGGCATTAATTTGAAGAGAAAACTCATTGAATCGATTATAATTGCTTCAAGTTCGCCACTTAATGAATAAATACAATATTTAGGTAATTAAAAACCGGTGCCAATTATCGATCACAAATCGGTTGAATAATATTAATGCGGAGTGAATGGTGATTAAATAAGTGCTAGATAAATCATATGTGTAGGCTGTAAAGAGAAAAATTAAGTAATAATCATCAGGAGCTGAATATCACTTGGTCAACTTAAATGACGTATATTTTCGAGTAATTAAGAAACTTGAAATTAATTTGCTGTTGATCAGGTGACTGAGTCAGGTATTAAAACCATTTACTTAATTTTTAAACGGCTTCCTAAAGTTTAAATTTTAACGGTTTTGTTGAATTTGAAACGTTTTTGCATTGAAATTTGAATATTAAAAAAACGTTATTTTTCAAACAATTGAAAATCATTTAAATCGAAAAAGTAATAAAATCATGACTAATAAAGCTACAACCCAGCAAAATACACGTCTAAACAGCATAAAAACACAATAGCCATATAAATCCAACACCATCCTACATGATGACAAGGCAACATACTCGAATAGGCTACAAATTATGTCAAAGCTAATTTTAATAAACAACAAATTCAATTTATACTAATGTTGACTAATCATCAGGAAATTCAGACATAAAATATCTCAACAAGAAAGACCCCGAAAAAGGGCAGAAATTAATTAAAAGGCCCCAAAAAAATAAAATAAAATCACAGATGCAAATCAGACACAACAAGAAATGTATTTAAATTTGTCATACACGAGTGTAAATTTTGAATTAATTTACAATGATGTGATATGTCATGAATTAATTTATTATGGTGATGTTATGATATCATTTAGATTCATTAACTTCATATCTGCATGGTCAGTGATGTATTTTGGGGGTTTGGATCTCACTTCCTTAGGGTTATCGGTTTGAATCTAGAAACTATATAAATTGAATGATTTTAGTCGCTTATGGTTGGACTGGGAAGAGTGGTGATTCCTGAGGACCTTGACAAGCTCAACTTTGGATGATTAAGCTATTTACATCTACAGAATGTGTAAAGGAATGACATTTGAGCTCCTTAAGCGCAGAATGGGTAGAATGTTGACTTTAGAGGTATAACCAAGCTCATACTCTTAAGGCTGAGATTCCTAACAAAGGATCAGGTTGAAGAAGGCTTAATCCCAAGGATAGCTAACCCAACTAGCCATGAACCAAGCGAGAGATGACCATTGAGGACTCTGTCAAGCTCTAGCTTAATTTATTAAGCTCCACAAGCTTGAAATGGGAAAGGAAGTGAATCAAAAAGCTAAATCAAGTTCAACTTAAACTGACTGAGCCACCAAAGTACAGAATAATAAGTGAGGCACCTCTCTGACTTTGCCACCGATCCCTCAAACATATCAGATGCATTTTTATACTCTGAAAGCATTCATCTCATGAATAGTGTTGCTGTTAATAATATAAATGAACAGTTAAGACAGTTATGCATGAAAAATCGTAAAAAAAAAAGAAACAAGAATATTAAGCAAAACAATCATAAAAATGAGATACAAGGAATTGGAATTAATACGAATGATGATTTTATAAAATAAAGTTTCATGTCATAAAATGAATAAAAATATTTTGGTGCAAATTATGATAGCATAAATAATCTTTAATGATGTACAGATTAAAGTCAATGCCTTGGCACGAATTGGAGCATTACGATATTTATAAAAATAAAAATTTTATTCCGTGATGAATATTATTACTTACCGCTGATATCGTCGTGCATTTCCTGGTGATGTCGTTGCGTATTTGCACAAATTGTACATGATTCATTCTTAAACATACACGTATAGCATTTCGCATGCCCGCATGTGTCAATTAACTTTCTCTTCTTGCCTTTATCGAATGGCATATCGCAGCTTGGACAGCATGTTGCACCTGCCTCAGTTTCAAGAATTTTTCTAATTGCTGCCAGATCTGTAATGAGACAAGATGGAGAATGGAGACTGTTAGGAAGGTATTTTAATCACTTTGACATGTTTTTTTGTTTAAATTAATGACTTAGCAACGACCAACGTGACTTAAAGTTCAACTAGTAATCTCAAGCCTAACATTTAAATACAACTATCAATTTTTTATTAGATTTATTCAATTCCTGGTTATTTTTTATGAATCGTCAGCATAAGGGGGTCATTTGGAAGTGACGTCTATCGGAAGTTGAGATTTTCAAGCCTGGAGGATGTCATGTGTAGTTGCATCCATCGATTGAGCAGTAATTTGATCCAAAAAACAATTCCTAGCTAAATTCCAAGTCATCTGACTCTAGATTTGCTCCACAACTATTTTTAAGGTTAGGGTCTCACAATTAGACATCATTTACAACACACCCCCAAAATTGAAATTCACCGAATGACTCCACAAAAAAAAGAGTCTATAACTTCCTTTTAAAGACATCTCTGTTAATTTACAAGTTACTATTTATTAATTTTGTGCTCTCGGTGAAGTAAATTTGTTAACAATAAAAAAGAGATTTTTCTTCTACGTTGACGCTGTAGGCACTTCGTGCTCTTAATGGCTATTTATGCGGATCATTTGTATTCTATATAATGAGCTTTTTTAAACCTATTAAATTATACACTTTTGTTAATAGATTTCAATTTCACGTGGAAGCATAAAAATAGAATACAATTTTTTGGAGGGAATAAAGGCAGGGTTGGAAGGTGCTGAAGGTGTTTTTATGATTCTTGGAATGGCTTGAAATAAAGATTGAGTGAGCTATGGGTGGGTACAAAGAATATGCATTAGGGGTTAATCATGTGATGTTGAGTGGATCTCATTTGAAATTGACTTTATGATTCTGGCATCAAGTTAAAGAGAGATACCTAATCAAGGGGATAACAACTTGGTGGACCACGTTTTAATAGAAACCTTCGACTTTTTTTGAGGGGAAAACAACCTGATAAGCTATCATATTAATCCAAGGGATAAACAACCTGATGAGCAGTTATATTAAACCAAGGGGAAAACAACCTGTTGAGGAATTAAATTAGGATGAAGGGACAACAACATTATCAAGACAAGAATTAGAAATAACCAAGGGAAGAACAACCTGATGAGGAATCAGAAAGAGTCGAGAGGACAACAACCTGATGAAAAATTAGATTGGTCCAAAAGGGGACAACAACCTCATGGGAAAAGTTATGACCATGTATTCAAAACAAGTGCCATAGAGAAAACAGCGTAATAAACTTTCTAGTTCCAAAAAATAAGTTTATTGTCTCCTCCCATCAAGAATCTATTCTAGTGCCAACTAAGCTAGCAAATGCAACAAGCCTCACCATAAACTACATGATGAATAGCACAGCTCAAACTGCAATCAAACAGAAAAATGCGTCCAAAAATACGATTGACACAGTTGCTCTCAATCGACATCCACATCAATCACCCAACTCTGAGGCTTAAAAGACCTCTCAAGGAGCCATTATCAATCAACAAAAGACGTAGCATTGCGTAACCGAGCAATTCACAGTGCCTGTGATAATTGAATTTTTTTGAAACATAAATTAGGAGCTTAATGATAATATCCAAAACTTATTTAGCATATGTTTGCAAAACTCTAAGGTCTTTTGAATGGATGATGTATTGCCATGCTAGTGATCTCTATAGCTTAATTAATTGGACTATATATTACTGAATATAGTCATATATCATCGATATGTCATTGTGCTTACGTTTGTGCGTAAATTTTAGTCATTTGCCTAATGAAATGTGATGGATATCTTCGGTTATAAATTGTCAGTGTGTTAATTAAATTTGAAACGTGAGATTAGCTTGCAAAAAATTAGATTCTCTCAGGAAATACTCTAAGATATATTCAACCTTTAAAGTTTGTTTGAAAACTTGCTAAATAATTATATATCTCAAGTGTCTATTCATCTGTCATCGATACCCGGTCATCAAAAATATTTTAAGCCATATAACAAAAAAATTGTATTCAAATGCCACTTTCAGGTTTGTTTTTTGCAAGCCTATCCATTTCACATCAACTCGAAGTACTATTATGAATATATTATGTCATGAACTTTAGTTGTTCAATAGCACGTAAACCCAAATTAGCCTAAGTATGAGTTTTTTTTTAAATAACAAATCATAATAATTTCAAAATGTTTTTAAAGCAAGCACCTGAAGCTGTTTGCATTTTCATCCAAAATCCAATCGAACCTTAGTTTATTGTCAATAGCTAATCGACAAGACAAATGAGTTTTCGATACAGTCGATAAATAAATTTTCGGCTTGTAAATTGTTGATTGGATGGAAGAATGGAATTTGCTAATTAAAATGAGACTTATTTGGGGTTATAAAGCAACTGTAACTTGTTTATAGATTGAAATTTTATAATTATGAGTAATTAATTGTTTAACGGCTTTTTAAAATTTGAATAACTTTTGTAGAAAATTTGAATTTATAAACGAAGATTTGAAAAATAAAATTAACGAACTTTACAAAGAATTCTAAAAATTCCACAAATCTACTTTAAAAACATCAAGTGAATGTCTACAGTCATCATGTCCACTCAACTACGAATTAAAGTGTTGAATGATTCAATTCAAAATAGATAATGACATCACGATTTCTAATAATGTCGACCAACTGCCATTTACCTCATTCTTTACGTTCATTTCATTCATAAAATAAACTGAAAAATATTTATCTTGCATAGTAATAGCTGTCCATGGTATCTAAATGAATCAATCGGAAATGAAATTTAAACACATTAAGAAATGAGCAGTAAAACAAAAAGCACGTGGGCGAGTTGAAATTGTATCGCAGAATATAAAATCTTGCAAAATGTATGTCATTGTGACAAAAAATCGAATAATTCTCACTTTCGATTTCAATAACCACGCGATGTTGTCTCACTAATAGGTATCAACACCTTTATATTCGATTACTGAGCCATTCAATCACCACCGATCAACAATAAAGAGTATTATTATTAATGGTCGACAACAACAGAGCTTTAAAAGGTTGTTGACAGAACAATTGTCGTCATTTCCATTCATAATTTTAATTTTTTTGACTACCTCGCTTTGGCTATTTTCGGTAGTCGAGTAATAAAATTTTATTTCACACTATCGAAGACGGTTCACATTCAATTAGACATTAAACAATTAATAAAGTTGTAATACGAAATGTGTAACATCTTAAGAAGGCGTATTGTAAAACATTTAGTAAGTTCCTTGCCATTTATAGGCATTTTTTTCTGCTCCTTTTCATAATATTTAATTCTCTTCGCTTACAGCCTCCGATTTCGTGGGCGTAGTGCAAAATAAGAGATATACGAATGAATGAAATAAAGTTACAAGAAGGTGGGTGAATGAGACGCAGTTTTGAGTGTTTTTTGCTGAATGAATCAGAGTAGTATTGCTTAGATTTGTGAAATTCGTGAAACTTGGAGACTAGATGTTGACAGAAACAACTTTAGATTGCTAGATGTAATTCATATGAAATGATATTTTGAGAACTAAGTGATTCAGATGTTTGTAAGCGTATAACCGTCATTTTAAATTTGAAATCTGTATCAAAAACGATTGGTTGATTCCCCTTTCATAGTTGAATGCTCCTTTCAATTGTTTTGTTGAGTTTTCAAAGGTTTTTGGCTGTTTCTGGATGTTTGAAAAGTAAAATCACTCCTTAATTTACTTGTTATTGATCAATCTCATAACCAAAAGAAAGCAAAGCTTAAATTAACTCCAAGTTCTCAGCATGAAGCCAGATTTACTCTCATGAGTCATAAGTGACCTTATTATTGACATTTTTTCATGAATTTTCCACTTACTGGATCTCCATTTTCCAATACCTAAACATTCATTAAACCAACAGATACTTGATGGACCATGCCAATAAGAAATCCACATATAATTTTAATTAAAAATCAATTGTCTCGCTGATTACATTAAAAAGAATTTCAATGTTAAGAGAAGCATGCTCTACATAATGAAACACTCCAAGTCAATCACTCATAAAGACAGCTGGGAACCAAAAAAAAATCAAAACTGTTGGAATATTCAGCACTCGTTGTGCAAAAAAAAAGAGTGCGTTGAAATGTCTTTAGCTTATATATGACTGTAAGCAAAACGTTAAATAAAATATATAAAATCAAGGTGAGTAGCAAACAAGAGACTTTATGGGGTTTTAATAGTTCCTCTCATTCATCGAATTAAAATTCATTCATTCATAAATCTATAAAAAAAAGTTGTGAAGAGGGAGAAAAATATGGCAGCTGATGATGATTGCGACTATTTTGCAGAATCTTACTTCTTCGTCCAATTTTATTTGTTTATTTATTTACAGCTTTTAAAGAGCAGGAGAATTAGGTCAGCAATATAATGTTATGTCTAATCATGTTCGACACATGGTGGTGCCATTAGACGGATCTGTAAAATAGCCGTATAATGAAAGAGATGAGAGAAAGAGCGTTTGGCAAAAAAAAGATAGCTAATTCCATAATTAACATCCAACACATTATTAATAGATAGATTGATGAATGTATCTATATACACGCTCCAAATTGCTTACGTTGCATAATCTAATTGTCTAAAAATGTTTTTTTTTTTTTATTATGCTGTATAAATGTATATGCCGCTAAGAGTGTCTGCTATTAGAAGAAAAAGTCATAAAAAATTGATTGATTGATAAAAAGCCTTTTTTTTTCACTCGAAAATTGAATTTTTCATGAGCACTAAAATAAGGTCAGCTGTCAGAAGTCGGTTGAGTGTTTTTTTGGACTTGCTCACTTTGGTCCCATGAAGGGGTCATTCAGAAATAATGTATAGTCAGAATTTGAATGTTTGGGGTATTTTTTCATTCTTGGTAACTTGCATTGATTATTAAAAATTTTAGACATCACTGCCAAACGCCTCCCAAACATAACTATGAGTCTGCACAACTTTAATACACATATCTAGCCCCATAAT